ATTTGCAGGATCTCAGTGAATAAACAATCTTGAAATGCTTGCGCTGATCCATCGCGTTATGTCCATGATAAAGATCGAATGTGCTTGCTCAGTGAACATTAATAAAGGTTAGCCGTCACCATTTACGAAAATCAAGTTGTTGATTGCCAGTACATGATTCACCAACTCGCGGTGGCTGGACTGGGGGTGGGGTATGGTGATGACTCATCATGTTTACGACTTCCTGGCTTCAAACATGCGCGGCGTGGGGGGGGGGGAGAAGGGACACGACGCGTGCGCTTTATTATAAAGAAATGAATGCGAGGACAGGTTTAAAAGCTCACGAGGAATGACAACTTCTCTGTTTTGTTTTATTATCCAAAGGTCTCCCATATCTTTTGCATGATCAATTTAACATAAAGCTCATAAACATTCTCAAGCGGCTGGAGAAATGTTGTTTTTCTGAATTTAAAGACATAACTGGCACATATTTATTTATTTATTTATTTATTCAATACGCTCTTGGCGTTCCTTACAAAACAAAAAAGAACACGAGTTATTCTTACAAACGTAATCAAAGTCTATCATGAAGATTAGGTCCAAACTTTCAAATTGGTTAAGAATTACATGTTGACTGAGCTTGTATGTGACTGCTCTAGATACACTTGTCAGAGTCTAAAGATGTGATCATGGAGATGGTACCCATGCCCCCATTACTGCCAGCAAAACGTCTCTGAGATATTATATAGCATAGGTGGATGGTGGATATACTCTCACCATATGAGGCAAGTAGGACGAGCTTAATAACTCAAGATAATCTTGAGTAATATGGAGGATTGTAATGAATCATATGTGATCGAGAAGATCAGCCAGTTGTTGAAAGCTATGGAGGTGGTGTTCACGCCTACTCGTTTGCTAACAAAATGCTCTTGAAGTAGTAAAGTTAGCAAAGCAAGGCTTGGTCGGTAGAGTAGCAAATAACCTTGCTCAAATGATTTCGGGGAGAAACCAATGCTCCGAGAGATTATCGATAGAATTCCATTTATTAACTTAATAACTTAATAAATTAACTCATATTTTTGTTGAAAATTTCATCTGCAGCACTCATTGCTCCCGAAATTTGAAGGGACCCACCAAAATCTCGGATTCAGTTCTCATCATTCATAAGTGCAAAAAAAGACCTCTTACTGTTCTTTTACAACTTGAAATGCGCAGTTGAAAAAAGGACTGTTGGGCGGAGTCGCCCTTTGGCCCTGTGAAGGTTTAATGTCTGTGATCGCACTGTATTGCTGAGAAATAATACAAGAATGTTATCGACCTGCAGCGAAAAACAACAAAAACAAAAAACAGTGCTTGCTTGCTGCTATTGCAAACTGTTTTAACATGCCATAAATCTCACTTTTACTCCACCTCATGATTAGACTGAATAAGAGTTATAAATTGGTGTCTTTCTGTTAACGTTCGCAGCATAAAAGTGTTTGTTCTTCGCACTCGCCTTCTAGAAAGACAAATGACTCCGCGACATTTCTACCAACTCTAGTAAAATTACTAGAGGAAATCCTGAATCATATTTTTTCACATAACTAGTAAGCATGGAAGAAAGACAAGAAAACGCAAATCTTGCAGAGAGCCTCGTATATACCATAAGCATAGTCCTGTTGATCGCCACTCCAAAATTTAATAGGATGATTTGAATACAGTTTTCGATAGTCTTCCACATCGTAAACTTTTTTTTTCAATTTCGCACGAATATTATATTTCTGAAAGATTTAGATTCACAGTTGATATTCACTGACGCGACATTTTCCCCCATTAAGATGATGCGTTTGCGTCCGCCAGAATACTAAATTTTCTGAACCAACCACTTTAACAGGTGGATCGCGCCTTTTTTCGAAGGCCTCAGTCATTCCATCTCGAAAAAGAAGCTCATCTATATCAGTTCTGCCTTCATAGGGGTTTCCTGTCCCGCGCTCATCAGGTTGCTGTTTTGCACAATTATAGACAACTGCGAGAGCAAGTACCTAAAGCAAGTGACACTTTGTTTTTGCATTGTAAGAACACGCAGAGTAAATTACAGCAAAAGTACTGATGAGGAGTCCCATGCTCATCGCAATCGCCATTTCGATACTTATGAAGGGACGGCAAGCGTTAGGCGACAAAACGTGCAAAACGTAAGCAACGTAAATCCCGTAACTCAAGACTATGCACCATTTTTTATCATTGGCGTCGGGTAATGTGTTGTCGGCCCCGACCCTCACCCCCCCCCCCTGTTTTTGGCGGAGGAGACGTTCTGCACGGGGAGTTCTTTGGGGTCAAAAAAATTGGGTTTGTCGCTTAACGCCCTACACCCCTTGTGGAAACGACGAGTTGTTCAAGCAAAAATCGATTCAATAAGCACAACAAGTTCATATTAATGTTTGTACTTTCCCACTCACAATGCTTGTTTACATATTAACTCCACCCTGTTAACAGCAACATGAGGAGTTTCCCTGACCGAGTTGTACAAAAAATGACGACATCAAATTCTGCTTGCATCATAATGCAGCACATAGACAAGAGAGGTATGTAAGGCACTTTAACAACACTGATCGTGTTAGTGTTCAGTGCAGGGTAAGACATTTCGCATCTGCTCAAACGTGGCTTCAACTAAGGCTCTGCACAAAGCTGATGATATTTGTGATCTCTAGAATTGGCGGCGAACCGTGTCCTGTCCACACCACCGCGTAGGAGTATGATTGCTGCCACCATCATACTCTATAATAAAGCGCGAGCACCCCCATTAGGGCAACGGATGTTTGTAGAGATCTCTGTCTTAAGTTTTGCACTCTCGCCCGCTTCCAGACTGTTTACGGTTACGGTCCGACCCAGCCACAGCCGATGACTCATAACGGTAGTGATGCCTGTCTTAGAATGATGTTGATCAGTGATCAAGTGGCATAACCAAATAATCACTAGACAAGGCTAACATCGATTAGTATTATTTCCGCTATAAGTCAAATCGCTTAGTTTCAAAAGCAACTTGACTTCTGATAGAATCGGAGCCGGTCAGTTTACATTTCATACAAAATCGTTCTATCACTTTCAAATGCGCATCCACATATATTCCTAAAAATCTGCTCAATCTGAATGATGTGCATCTACGTACGTATAAGTTACACATGCGCTGTGTTTATTTAGGTATTGTTCTGTGAAAACAAATTTGTGACTCCCTCTCACTATTTTTACTGATAGACCAACAGCTGCGCAGTGAGCACCTGATTCGCATCTTTCCAAAAGCTGAATTTGTTTCAATTTCATCGATGCGTTTATTCAACAAGCTGCACTGAATCCTTTTTCGGAGAATTTTGTCTTTACTTAAATGCAGAACTTTTGATATTTTTTGTACCCTCTATGCTCAAAACCACGTACTAATTGTTTCAGCAAAAAAGCTGCATAATTTTTATGGAAAGAAATACAACATAGGTTTGTTCAGTTCCACAATGCTTATTGTGTTTCTCATTGTAAAAAGTTACGCCAAATTATATTTCTTAAAGTTTGTTCCTCTGATTATTTGAGTGTGATCTGCATTCATATGTTTCTTGCATGAGCGGATTGCCGAATCCTTTTTTTTGAAAGCTTCTCACAAATCTTAGCTTCTTGAGCATGATCTCTATCTACGATTTTTTCGTAAGAGCACTTCGTTTGAAATGTGTCCGAAACCAGAGACTATTATCGGATATCCTAACATAAAAAGGCTATTTTTCCCCCATGTTTTTGCAAGTCTGAAGTTTTTCATGCTATATATAAAATCTGCGTCAAGCCTGTTTTTCGGAAAATTTATTAAATTTCAATAGAAAATGCATGTTTCCTGTCTTCAACAAATCGCATCAAAACTGCTTTTGACTTCTCGCTAACATTTTTAAGCACGACTTCTGTTGTTAGAATTTTAAGATGGAAGTTGTAAACTCCTATCTGTTTGTCAAATGCTAAGTAAGTGTTTCTTATAAGGAAACTACAAGGAATATGTTTTGTTTCTGAAAAACTCCTACAATTGTCGACACTGATTGTCCCATACGTGTGTTTTTTTTAGCTTCCGGTGCTAAATATCGGTGTTGATAGCATTATCTCTTTAAAAATCTACTATAGCATTGAAGTGGAGGTGACACTACTCATGCTGAAATGTGTACTACTCATGCTAGCCCAAGGCTTTTCACGAGTGCATTTAGTCAAAACTATGAAGGTTTTTAGCAGTATTGAGTCTGATTTGCAAGAAAGCGGGTGATCTATAAGCAAAGACGAAATATCGTTCAAAATAGTAAAGTCTCACTTAATTCATGTATAGAGTGTCTGAAAAATCAGCTACTAACCTTTATGCGATATTTATTGTCGAATCAAATGTCGAAAAGCTTCCTCTGCAAATTTTGACATCATTTACTCAATATTTGATTGTTGAGATCACTCGAAGAGATCGAAGTTTTACTGAAACAATTCGAGAAAGCTGTTGCACATCTTCAAAGCTCTTCCTACATATCAGGCGTGATAGTGACACCCTGATGATACATTTCGAAAGTGTTGCTGAGTCTAATGTTTCGAAAAATGGACACCTTGCAAGCAAAACGATGTATTGCAAGAATCAAAAACCATTCAAAGATATCATGAAAGTCTCATTGATGTCATGTATAAGACAAGAGTATATGATGGATATGCGCCTGACTTTCTCGCGATGTATAATGTGAAATTTCGGTACTATAATTTTTTTGCAAAACTAAACATGCATATAATGCATGTTGTGATTACCCTAAGGGACTGATTCAGCCCTTTTTGAAACATTTATGCTAAGCAATGTGAAGAAGCATCTTTGCATTGTTATGCATGCCTTGGATCCAATATGGAGGACATTTTTTATCTCCTAGAATTTTCGAGCAAAAGTTTTTTTTCAAAAAAGAACAATTGACCTAAATAAATGTTGCACTGTAATTTGCTGTCGACATATTTGTCACAATCAGAGTAATCAGGAAGCAGTTTCAAAAGGAGTTGAAGTCATGCATGAAGCTCCAGCAAAATCCAACAACATTGCCTTCAAATCTGATGCTGCCAAAGCACAGCTTATGCTAGACCTAGAGCAGCAGCCATGCTGTTCTCGACAGAATCTCAGCTTATCAAACGAAACAGTTGAGGTAATTTTTCAATAGGAATTCTTTCATAGCTTGATTAGCACATTGTAGCAACCACATGAACAACCGCTGCCAGAAGAAACGTTGCCTGAAAAATCGCTGGAAACAGCGAAGGTGAGAAAAGATACATTTCGCGTAAGTGCAAACCCGTCTATTTTAGGAACATACGCAGCGGAAGAAAGTTGAGCGAGTACCATCGGGTTCTAACAAGATCGCGGATGAGCATAAGTTAGCCCGCCTTGAGTTCAATGCAGAAAGATGTAGATCAAAGAGATGGCTAGAAACTGAACAACAGAGAGCAGAACGTCTTGCAAAAGTAGCAGAAAGAGCCAAATTGAGAAGATCAACTGAAACTGAGGAGCAGCGATTGCTACGTCTACGTACATCTGCGGACAGGAAAAGACGACGTGTACATAACAGTTCAGAGAATGAAATTTGTGAAGGCAGCAAACGTAGCTTTACTTCATGCGGGAAGCGCTCGGGGAAGCAAACCACGGTCAGTACGTGTTTTTGAGATCCCTATTCAAATACCGAAACTTTTTTGAAAATCTTCACTCACACCGAAAAAGACACGTTGGGTTAAGGTTAACGTTCACAATCCTTATGGGAATGTTTCGTCTCCATTTGTTACTGCTGCGATTGAGGGCGTAGTTGAGGTCTGACTTTTGTATTACACCAGTGGCGGCAGTTACAATAGAACCAAATTTAGATTGAACAACAACATTTGGGCGCGAGTGTTACAACGATTTTGGAAACGGCAGAGGCGCATACCGTAAATAGAATTGAGGTTTTATAGATTAAGTTCTGATATCGCTTCTTTTAAATGGATCTATCTCAACAACTGACCGAACATGCTTTTGCAACTACAGCTCTTACGCAATGTGTAGCAGCAGAAGCGCATGTGAACGAGAACCTCGACTTAATAGATTTACAAGGGACTCATACTTTTGAGCGTGATGAAGTATGTCGAAATGAAGATGCCTCGATGGTTAGCATCAATGTGCTTTCAGAAAATTCACAAACTGAGGTACGCTTCCTGCTATCAGATTGAAGTTTAGTTCCTGAGAACAGCTGTGCATACGGTTGCATTGCAGTTTCCAATTGAAAGGCATGAAAATATAACGCCTGCCAATTCTGTCACGGAAGTAAACGAGATTACTAATGAGACCAACACTTCTGAACATCGAAGGAATAACTCAAATGAAGTGGAAGAATTTGAAGGAGATACAACTGTGAACCAGGTACTTCACCTTGCAAAAATTTTGCGTTCCTTCCCATATAATAGTGTTTAGATGGGATCTTCCCAAAATATTACGCAGTTTCGCCGAAGAAATCCTTGCAATCTTGGAATTGCGCTAACAGCCAACGATACAGAGGAAAATTACTTAGGTCCAATGAATGTAAGCTGCAACCACTGTGGCGCTCTCTTCTTCTCCGGCGAGGCAAAGAAAGACAAAGGAAGTTACAATATCTGCTGCAATTTCGGCAACATCTCCATAGATCTATTTTCGGAGTTTCCAGAGCTTATCCGTTCCTTCTATACTGGAACATCCACTCTCTGCAAGAATTTTCGCGACAATATTCGATCTTACAATAGCGCTCTTGCCATGGCTTCAATGGGCGCACAAGTGGATACTCCGCGCGGTACCGGTCCATACTGTTACAGGATCCACGGCCAGATTTATCACTACGTTGGCCCTTTGAAAGCAGAGCAAGGATTTCGTCCGCAGTTTGGACAAATATACATATTGGATACGGATGCTGCCGCTGCTGAAAGAAGCGGATACCCGATAAATTCACAGTGCAATGCTATTGTAATGCATCAGTTGACTACATGGATGCACGCTAATAACAGCTATGCAGCTTCACTCAGAATGATGGGTGAAGTGGCTGCGGACGAAGAGCGACGTGCCCATGCCGAAGGAAGGCAAACACCAACTGTCCGCTTGATCTTCGACGACTCCGGTAATCTCGATCGTCGTCGCTACAACATTCCCGTTGCCAACGAGATCGCGGTTGTCTACGTCGGTGAAGATAACGATGTTCCATCGAATCGCGCTCTAGCAATTCATTACAAAGGAGGTCGCCTGATTAGAATTCCCGACATTGACGGCAGATGCGATCCATTGACCTATCCACTATTGTTTCCAAAAAGAGGACTGGGATGGCATACCAATCTGAGAAAGAACCCAAGTAGTCGCATCCGTACCAGAATAACACAGCGCGAGTTCTACTCCTATTTGCTTGCCGTGCGTCCATCTTTCAATCCGCTGCATCACGCCGGTAAACTCATGCAACAGTTTGTAGTCGATGCATATGTCAAGATCGAGCAAAACCGGCTAAATTATACGCGCTTGCACCAAAAGGAACTACGAGTGGACAGCTATAAAGGACTCATGGATCATCTGGCAAGTGATAACGTAGATGGACCGCCGGGGCAGCGCATAATTTTACCATCTTCATTTCCTGGCAGCCCACGAGCCATGCACCAGTCTTACCAGGATGCGATGTCCATTGTTGCAAGGTATGGAAAACCTGACTACTTCCTGACCTTCACTTGCAATCCACAATGGAGAGAGATAAACGAGAATTTGCATCCTGGCCAATCTTCATCAGATCGACCTGATGTGGTAACGCGTGTGTTCAACAGAAAGTTAGAAATACTGCAGAAATACCTGTTTGAGAAGAAAATTTTGGGTACTGTGGCAGCCTATGTAGGAGTCGTAGAATGGCAGAAACGAGGCCTTCCTCACTGCCACATGCTCCTAATCATGGCTGCCGATGCAAAACCAAGAAGTCCTGAGAATGTTGATGCTGCCGTAAAAGCTCATCTTCCAAGCGCCTCTGAAAATCCCCGGCTTTTCAACACAGTTGCAAGGAACATGATACACCGTCTTTGTGGAGCGACTAACCCAACTGCGCCATGCATGATAAACGGAGAATGTTCAAAACGCTATCCAAAAGAATACCGAGAGACCACTGATATCGAAGTAGACGGTTATCCCAAATACAGAAGGCCTGATGATGGTCGCACCGTGACTAGCAAAGGCCAGACCTTTGATAACAGACATGTGGTGCCGTACAACCCCTACCTCCTGCTTCTTCTCAACGCCCATGTGAATTTAGAGATCTGCGGTTATATACAAGCGGTAAAGTACTTATATAAGTACGTTTACAAGGGGCCGGATCGCGCATCTCTACGGCTACTGGAAAGGGATCCTGCACAATGCTCTGATGAGATTCGAGCTCATCTCGATGCTCGATATGTATGTTCACCGGAAGCACTGCACCATATCTTCATATATGATCGACAATTCAAATCCGACATCGTAAGTCGTCTACCTGTGCATCTCCCCGACTACCAAACAGTCGCTTTCCAATCAGGAGAAGAGCGCGAGGCAGCAGTACGTGCTGAAGCACGAGATACGATGCTGACAGCATGGTTCAAGTTGAATAATGACTATGAGCTTATGCAAGACAACAATGTCGAGATGATGGAAGCGGTAGACCCACGAGATCTTTACTATTATCAATTACCTGAGTACTTCACCTTCACAAATGAGCGAAGATGGAAACGAAGGCGAAGGGGTGTTCGTCAAATTGGTCGTATGCACGTTGCTTCTCCTAAGGATCCGGAAAGATTTAGCTTGCGCGTTTTACTCCTTCATAGGAAGAACATGCGTTCCTTTGAGGATCTCCGCACGGTAGACGCTCATGTGCATCCCACATTTTTGAGTGCTGTGCGTGCTTTGGGTCTTCTGCATGACGATTCTCATTATGGCGACTGTTTGGAAGAAGCTGCTCAATTCCAAATGCCTAGCGAATTGAGGGCATTATTCAGCTATCTATTGACATTTTGCGAGGTATCCGATCCAAAAAGTCTCTATGATCGTTTCAAGGGTGATATGGCTGAGGATTTTATTCACGGAGGATCTACGCAATCTGACGCTGAAGCGCTCACCTACTTCGACCTGTATGATAGATTACAGATTTTGGGCTACAACCTCTCTGTAATAATCACTCCTCCAACTCAGAGTCGACCTGTCATGCCCGACCAGACTGATTATGCATTTCATGAGCAGAAAGGCGAAGAGATGTATGAATGTCTTAATCAAATGCAGAAAGCAACGATTGATGATATCTTCGCTTCCTTCGAGGCCGATCAAGCTAAGCTGCATTTTGTTGACGGGCCCGGAGGTAGTGGGAAAACTTATCTCTACAACGCCGCATACCACATATTGAAAGGTCGTCACAAGTCTGTCATCTGTGTGGCATGGACAGGTGTGGCCGCAAACCTGCTGCCTGGAGGTAGAACTGCTAGCTCTACATTCAAGTTCAATATGAAGACTGGAAACCGAGAGTGCATGATACGACGTGAATCTAAAGATGCTGCTGCTCTCAAGGAGGCAGATGTCATTATTTGGGACGAAGTCAGCATGGTTCCGAAATTTGCGCTTGAAGCAGTGAATCTCCTTCTACAAGACCTGATGTGCAGTGAGGAGCCTTTCGGGGGTAAAGTGGTCGTTTTAGGAGGTGACTTCCGGCAGGTACTACCGATTATAGAACGAGGAAGTGAGTGGGATATGGTTGATGCTTGCGTGAAGAATAGCAAGCTTTGGAATTTGTTTCGGATGCATCAGCTGTCTACCAATATGAGAGCTGCAGAATCTGGCTCATCATGGTGTGATTTCCTGATGAGCGTTGGAAATGGAGAAGCTGAAGAAGACGATTTGGGACGAATTCAGCTCCCAGATGAAATAGTCTCTAAAGGCGATCTTATTGATGAAGTGTTTGGTAGTGTTGGTGACTGCGACACTTTGAGTGATCGAGCAATATTGGCTCCGCGAAACTTTGATGTGTCGCAAATCAACGAGGAAGTTTTGAATAAGCTTCACGGCCAAATTCACGAATACAAGAGCGCTGACGATGTGATTAGTGATGATCCGCAAACGAACGATTACACCACGGAATTTCTGAATAGCATGACACCAACTAGGTTGCCTCCTCACAAGCTGCGAATGAAGGAGGGCTCGATAGTTATGCTATTGAGAAACCTTGATGTGCGAAATGGTTTATGTAATGGGACGAGGCTAATTGTCACGCATTTCGGACGTTTTCTCTTAGGATGTCGATTTTCATGTGGAGATCGAAAAGGCAAATTAGTGCTGATTCCTCGCATAGACAACTACACGGACACAGGAGTCCCTTTCCGATTACGAAGAAGGCAGTTTCCTGTCCGCTTATCGTTTGCAATGACGATTAATAAAGCCCAAGGGAAAGTTTAGCCCATGTAGGCATTTTCCTCGGAACAGATGTCTTCTCACATGGTCAGCTTTATGTCGCATTATCTAGAGGCCGACGAAAAGAGGGGGTAAAAGTTTACAAAAAAGAGGAAAGAGTCAAGAATGTAGTCATGCAGGCAGTTCTCAACTGAAAGATGAAACAAAGCTCAAATATCAGAGCAAAGGCAAGGATCGACTTTACGATATGCATGTCACTTCTTGAGTGCGATGT